GGGCACTATTTGCTCAGATTTTTTTCCCTTTTTTTAACTTCAGGTCATTTTGGTGTAATTTATTAACCAGGATTAGGAATTGCAGCCAAAAGAAGAACAATATTTTTATATGTGCAAAAGTACCTTAAATACATTTGTATCTGTATTATCTTTACTTTCCCGTGGCATCTTGCTTATCAGATTTCCCAATGCCAGAGCTGACTGACGTATCCCCTGAGAAGTCTCTTTAATGGATTTACTATCATCCTAATGCAGGGCACTGTTGTGAAGTTCGAATGAAGGATGACAATTTTTAGCAGGCAATCTTTTCATTTTTCCTAAATTATGGTGTCATTAAACAAACCATTGCCCACCATCATGTTTTTTAAGTCAACTGAATTTGGATCTACATGATTCTATACACAGCTCCAGTCCTTGTCCAGACCTGCATATCTTTCCAGATCACTATTAAAGCTAAATTTTTCAAGAAATTGAGACACTGTTTGCAAGATGTTTTAAAATGGTATTTTTCATTATCCTATTGCAGAATATGCTTCACAGGCACCCAGAATTTAACAGCATTGGGGTCAGTGAGGGCTCTGGGACCTCTGGATCTCCCTGTCTCTCTGCTAAACACATGGTGAGAAAAGCAAATGGGCTCTAGGGACTGGTCTTGTCATCATCTACAATGGCACAACCTTCTGATGTTCAGCATTTCTCATCTACACACGAGGCCTCCCCAGGGCAGAGAAAGCAAACTAGGAGAACGGGTTGGTGGGTTGAGTGGAAGGAGAGCAGGGGTATGAATAGCCAACCAAATTAAGAGGTCACGGAGCCAGTCGTGTGGTTTAATTGCCTGCAAGTTTTACAACTAACTATACCCATCCTTCCCTAAGGCAAGGTGCTCTGCCTCTCTCAACCTCAGTCTGCTCACCTAGAGGATGGAAATAATATTCCCTGCAGGTGGGATATACAGCCAGAGTCAGATAACACAAAGCACTCTAGAGCTCTATGTAGGAAAGGTGCTGGATGAATCCAAGGCACCATTGTTCTTCCTATTATAAGCTATAGTATAAGACTGCACACTAATAGTAGCTTCTAACCTTTTTTTCTATAAAGTCCTAAATTGCATGCCAATGAGGCTATGCAACTCTAAGGCCTAAAGGAAACTAAAACAGATAGTGCTTTCAAGTAACAAACACCTCACCCACAAAACAATGAAATTCATATAGAATGGCTATCTCAATGAAAACATTATCTCAACAAAAACCAAGCCCTTTAACCTTTATGTTGGTCCCAGGCCACTGACTCTCCCTAATATCTTCCCAACATCCCTCCCTCATCTGCACCCCTACCAAATATGCACTGTGTCACCAGCAGGAAGAGGGGCTGCTAATGACATTGTCAGCAGCACTGACACTGGGCTGGGGGAAGGAGGAGTCTTGGAAGCTGGTCCCTACTCCCAGCTTTACCCTCTGATCATTTTACACTCTGCTCCAGTTGCGGCTGGCAGATTGCTAAGAACATCCTTCTGCAATCTTCAGTTGATGGCTGAAAATTCTGTTTTGTGCCACAGCCCAGTATTAGGGCCAGTGGGGTGGCCCTTTGTACCTTTCTAAATGGTTTCAATAGCCATAATCTCATTTAATCAGCATACCTCCTCTAATTAGATAGGAAAGGTAGGTAGCAGGAACCTTATTTTAGAGACGAAACTAAGGCCTTAAGGAGTCACAAAGTAAGAATTAAGGCTGTGGTGAGTTTGTGGTAGAGCTGAGTTTTAATTCTAATCTTCTGGCTCCTGGCCCACAGCCCTTTCCAATAAGCCACTCTTCTCAATTTGCCACTAGTGAAGAGAGCTCAGATCTGGTGCCCTGATTTGACTCTGGATTCTGAGCAGCAATTCCCTGCACTGTCCCCAGCTCTGGGTACAGGAGGATCCAAAACTATGTGATCTTAAGAACATATGAAAGGCTTTCATGCGTTCAAGGACCAGACTAGTGGGTGACAATTAGGATGAGGTAGTTCTCAGCTCATTAAGTAGAACACTGCTTTGACCCTATGTCTGCTTTGTAGTAGTGAGTCTCCTATCACCAGAGGTGTTCAAGCAGAGTGTGATGTTTGCTTTTCAGAGGTTTGATTCAATGTCTGAGATCCCGCCCAACCCTGACAGTCTATGATTCACTCCTGCCTACTCTTCTTGGGATTTAATGGAACCAAACTTGCCACAGTTCAACAGTGAGCAAATCAACTCTTCTGTTTGCACAATTTATGAGGGTAGGCTATCTCACAGAGTGGTTAGGAGTTTAAATGAGATAATATGGGCCAAAGAGAAGGTGTTATTTCATAATACAGTCTCTATGATACTATAAAAATATACCTTTTCCTTCATGTGCTTTATTTGAGGACAAAAGGGAGGGGCAGGAAAGGCATTTATAAAATCTCCTTTCCTAACCTTCAGTCTATAGTACAAATCCTATAAAATAAGTGCCAATTCACCAAAAGTCATTATTGACTTTAGCAATGAAGCATCCAAACTTCTGTTGAAAGCCCTGGGAAATAGGTCTGATGGCATCAATGTTGCTTCTGTTATTTGGAATAAGAGCACCAATTTAATGACAACATTCTATCACGATTCAAGGGAATAGTTTTTTCCCCCTACTTTAGCATAAAGGTTATTGCTAACTAGGGAGTTCGGCATATCAGAATTTTCCAACTTCCATTTAAAACTGATCGAGTAAATGTGTACTTAGAAATTCAGGAA